AATTAATTTTCTTCAAATCGTTAGCCAAAGATTTCTGAAAATGGTTTTTCCCTGATCGAAATTGTATATTTTCGATGAGTTTTATAAGGTCGGTTTCGAAAGGTTTCATTTCCGGAATCGAAGGAGGTGTTTTGTTGGACGCAAGGCCGAAATGGTTGTTTTGGTTCTTGTTGATACTGTTTTTATTAAAGAAATGAGCTTTCCATCTCATACGTTTTATTACACTTTCCACTTTTTCAATCAAATTCTTCAAATAAGAATCCTGCGATGGTATAGGATATTCTTTAACGAATAGTCAAATCGAAATTGTCGCATTATGAAGTTAGTAAGAAATGAGAAACGTAAACTAGAGTGCACGAGCGATATACGGGTGCGAATGTACGAGTAGGTTTATGAATACGAAACGCAAAGAGTGCTCAATATCATAAAGATAGAGCGAATGTAGAATTTCAAGGCACAGGACAAGGGCACTGTCAATTGCAGTTGTTCGAAAAACACAATATGCCCTCTTCAGAAACAATGCATGACTAAGGACATAGTATACAAAGCAACAGTCACAACAAGCAACCCTAACACGACCATGAATTATATTGGCATGACATCAACTACATTTAAAGAGCGTTTGGCTAACCATAACTATACTTTCGAGCATAAAGAGCACTCAAACAAAACTGAGCTTTCGAAATATATTTGGACACTGAAAGATAGCAAGAAAGATTTTAAATTAATATCAATTGGCAAATTTTGAAACACGCTATTTCGTATACGGGAGGATCAAAACGATGTAATTTATGTTTAGAAGAAAAATTTTGTATTTTGAAAGAAAACCAAAACTGTTTACTCAATAAAAGAATGGAAATTATATCTACGTGCAGACATAGGAAGAAATTTCGCGTAAACAACGCAAACAATACACTCCCACAACTCGATTAGGCATTTCCACGTAAACAACGCAAACAATAGATGAATGCATGCTTTGTTTCACCCACACACACCCACATTCCGGCCAAAACACATATAAGCAGTCCTATTTTCGAAACTTGTCATACCGCCTGATGATTCTTTACTGATGAAACAGACTGTTGCGGAATTTTGAGGTAAGCGAAATTATATATATATGTATATATATATATATATATATATATATATATATATATATATATATATATATATATATATATATATATATATATATAATTTCGCTTACCTCAAAATTCGCAACAGTCCGTTTCATCAGTAAAGAATCATCACGCGTTATCAGACTGTTGAAACAGGCTGTTGCGGAATTTGGAGGTAAGCGAAATTCTACATTTGATATAATAATATGATATAATAATAATAATAATAATAATCGTTTATATATATATGGAACTGTATAAATATGTATATAAATCTTACTTATCAAATTTAAAATTATATTCATTAATATAGAATGAACTACAGGGCTGTTTCTAAAACGTTCAGTGTTGCAAAAAAAGTTATAAATCTTTTCGCCATTTGTCCTAGTCTCTCTTTCCCTAATGTCACTGAGTTTCTTTGGCAATAGTCCGTGAAATCTGTGTGATGGTTGTAACATGTCCTCAATTAAGGAGGCACATAATTGTTTCTGCATTCTTCTAAGGTAAGCAGATTGCTCAGAGATAATAGAAGTCCATAATCACAAAGGCCAGGACAAATTATTCGGAGGGCTTGTTTTTGGATTTTTTTCTATGTTTTTCTTATGCATTTGTGTCAGAACAACACTCCAGATTTGGGCACCATACTCCAGAACAGAACGAATTACTGTACAATAGAAAGCTAATAGGTCATTTTTGGTGCACCATAACTCTTTAAAATCTTCAAGAGGTAAAGTCGCTTAGCGTCTTTTTTTACAATGTACACGGGATATTTTATCGTCGCCAATATTAATCAGTGGTATTTCTACATCTATCTACATCTACATCTACATATAATTAAGTCGGTAAAATCTACAAATGATATTACACCAACTATTTAAAACTAAAATATCTATGATGTACGGTATATAAAATTCTAAAAAAAAGTTCAAGTACATAGGATAAAATACATTAGTCCTGATTGTCAACTAGGTATTCTAATAGTTCAGACTTGAAAAGTTCAAAGGAATTTAACTCAGCAATCTCTGCTGGTAGACTATTCCAATGCCTTATAGTTCTAGGGAAAAAAGAATAAAAGTACGTGTTCTTTGTGGCTTTGTCTTGTATATATCTATATTGATGGCTTGCGCGAGTTCTAAGTTCGGTGTTTGGATTCAGATGAGTCTCGGTGTCGACATCGATTTGCCCTCGGCTCATCTTATATAACAAGGCTAGCCGAGTCATTGTTCTTCTTAGCTCCAAGGTGGTCCATCCTAACTCGTGTAGCATGTCTGTGACACTGGCTGTGGGATGATAATTGTTGCTACAAAACCGTGCTGCTTTTCTCTGAACTCTCTCAAGAGAAGCGATGTCCTTTTGAAGATAGGGATCCCAAGCAGCACACGCGTATTCAAGTTTTGGGCGTACAATTGCCGTGTATGCAATTTCTTTCACTTTTTTAGGGCAGTTCCAAAGATTTCTTTTCATCATTCCTAAGACTCTGCTTGCTTTACTAGAGATAGTAGAGACATGATTGGACCACTTCAAATCATCATTAAAAGTGACTCCCAAGTATGACATCGATTCAACTTGTTCCAGTTTGACCCCACAGAAGGAATATACCCCCTGGGGTGGTGTTTTCTTGGTAGAAATACAGATCGTTTTACACTTGGAAGGATTAAATGACATTTGCCACTTATTTTTCCACTCTTCGAGTTGTTGTAAATCTTCCTGGAGTTGGTCACCATCTTCCTCATTTGACATTACGCCATATAGTAACGCATCATCGGCGAAAAGTCTGATTTGGGACTTCAGATTGTCCGGCAGATCGTTTACGTATAATAAAAATAAAAGTGGTCCCAACACAGTTCCCTGCGGCACTCCAGATGTTACCTGGGTAGGGTGGGAATGCTTGCCTTCACACACCACTGTTTGAGAACGGTTAGTTAAGAATGACTCAAACCAACGAAGCAGGGATCCATGGATTCCATAATACTGTAACTTAATAATAAGACGTTTGTGAGGAACTTTATCGAAGGCCTTGCTAAAGTCTAATACTGCGGCATGAATCGACTTATTGTCTTGGATCGCCTTGGCCATATCATGAATCGCCAGGATTAATTGCGTTACTGTGGATCGTCTTGCTCTGAATCCATGTTGTACATCTGTGAGAATCGCGTGTTGTTCTAGGTGTTTCATCACATGACTATGAATAATATGTTCGAGGACCTTTGATGATATGCAGGTTAGTGAAATAGGTATGTAATTTGCGGGATCTGATTTGGGACCATTCTTATGCACACCACACACATTAGCATGTTTCCATTTAGATGGTGTACATCCACTATCGATGGAGGTTTGAAAAATTGCTGCCAACATAGGGCCAATTTCCGTTGCATATTCTTTAAGAAACCACGGGGGTATCTCATCTGGGCCACTTGCTTTATGTGGTTTCAAGGACTGTAACTGTTTAATGACACCTGGAATTGTAATAATAATGGTGCCAATGCTCGGTTTCGGGTCTAGACCGACGGGAGGAATATTATTAGGATTTTCGTCTGTAAACACACTAGAAAACTGTTTACTCAGGAGTTCCGATTTCAAATTCCCGTCACTTATAATTCTGCCATCAACTTTGAAGTCAGCTATGCCAGGATCCTCATTTTTTAATTGTTTAATATACGACCAAAAGCGCTTTGGATTTTCTTCTATCGCGGTTCCCAGGAAATCTGAAATATACGTTTCTCTTGTAGACTTCAAGTCCTTTTGCAGTCGTTTCCTAGCAGTCCGAAATTCATTCCAATGTGCAGTGTTTCCTGATTTCTTTGCCTTATTGTAAAGACGTTGTTTAATTCTTGTTTTCCTTCTAAGTACGCGGTTGCACCAGGGGAGGTTGTATCTTGAGCTGGACATTTTGTGAGGTATACAAGTATCCATTATACGTCGGATATTTCCTTCAAAGTCCGCCCACATCTTGTCAACTGACACATCGCTTGAATTAGGTTCCTGATGCTGAGTCGTAATTAATGTTTGCAGCTCTTGCTTGATACGAGCAGAATCAGCTTTCTTCTTAATGTAAACTTTACGTTTAACATTTCGTTTCCGCTGGCAAGATGTCTTGACAGTAAATAGGACAATATCATGGTCACTTATACCATCGATGACTTTGACTCCGCCGATAATATCCTTATTATTCGATAAGACGAGGTCCAAGATATTTTGAGTGGTCCCTTGTCGCCTAGTCGGCTCTTTGACAAACTGGATTAAGTCATTGTCATTAAGTACCTCCAGGAGCCTTTTAGACGCTGTAGTTAAATCGTCTTGGTCGAGTGGATTATCCCAATTGACGTCTGGTGCATTGAAATCGCCAGTGAGGATTACATTGTTCTTATGTAAAGCAGCTCCCATTTTCAATAACGATGTATTTAGTTCTTCAAGACTTTTCATATCAGATATATTTGGTCGATAGTAAGACCCGAAGTAGATAGATTTTGCAGTTCTTATTCCAGCCAACTGACACTGTGTCCATATAATTTCACAATCAGAGTCCCACTCAGAGCGATGGGTCATTATCAGGTCATTCTTTACTGCTTGGAAAACTCCCCCGCCCATGCTGTTATTGTCCCTCTGTAAGATCCTTGAATATAGGTAAACAGGTAAGGAATATTCTGAAAAGAAAAGTGGGAAGTTTAGAATTAAAATCAGGATTTACATTGCCTGTGCATTTCAACTTTAGATAATGATTACGATGAAGACAATGCTTCAGATCAAGACACTGATTCAGATGCTACATTTGATCCGACATGTGGTGTAGATAATGATTACGATGAAGACAATGCTTCAGATTAAGATACTGATTCAGATGCTACATTTGATCCGACATGCGATACGGACAGGGGTCACAACATGGTGCGCAGAAGCAGAGTTCCCAAAGGAAAGCTTGTGACCATTACAGCCTTGGGGAAAGAAATACCATCGTTCCCAGTCTTGACACTTAAGTTTGTGGTTGTAGAGCTCGAAGGTGGTCACTTGGCTGTTATTAAAAGTAGTGACAGATCCAAGTTGAAATCATTCCCTACAATTATAGATTGCTGGTCCACAGAATGTCAAATTACCATTGGCATAAATACATATACACAGTCCTTTGGGATTGGGAGTTGCACAAAGAATCAGAAACCCAAAGAGACGGAGCCACCCGAAGAGATGAAGAACCAGAAAATGATTTTCTTGATAGCCTATTAGGACTTAATGAACATGCACACAGACCTGAAGAATCATTTAGTTCAGGGTCACCAGAATCAGACTTTTCTGATGACGAAGAATCATTAGTTTGCTCACACGAGCTGCCATTTAAGGTTATGGGGGTTGTTCATAACTCAAGTAGACAGAAACACCTAGAGAATGCCTTTGAAACAATTTATGGGGAACAAAAGGAAGTTTTGGCCTGAATTAGACCAGATCCTACCAACAAGTTCGATGCAGATGCTATAGCAGTAGAACTTGACTATGGATCTGATTGGAAACTTGTTGGATTCCTGTTAAAAGACTTGACTCAGTACGTGCATCATGTCCTAAATAGTCGAAGACTTTTAAGTGTTCAGATTGGACACATACGATTCCAAACCCAGTGGCAAATGCCTGGGTTTTATGCAAAAATACTTGTCAAGTGTAAGGGTATGTGGCAGAAAGAAGTTATCAGTGCAAGCAGAAGGGTAAAGTGACAGACAGATAACTTTAGTTTTTCATGTACAGATTCGTTTATTGCAAGCATAGTTAATAGAATAGATGGTTTGGAAGCTCATTAGAATAACAATATAACTCATTATCTATGTTAGTCAACGTTTATTCATAAATCTGGTCCTTCACTGGCACGTGTGTATTGTATTTTTGCCCAACTAACCAATAGCAATGTTTTAGGAAAGTTACCTATCCATGACTTGAACAATAGGGAAATTGCTATTGATGGATTTGGCAAAAATACAATACACACGTGACGGTGAAGGACCAAATTTAGAATAAACGTTGACTAACGTAGATAATGAGTTGTGTTGTTATTCTGACGAGTTTCCAAACCATCAATGCTATTAACTATGTTGCAAGATAGTTTATTTGTAATTACAGTATATACATCTTATATGTCAACTGCAAGTTCTGGTAAGCTTTCTGGCGCACTGTGAAAGGTTGCACACACAGTTAAACTGTTTTTCTGAGGCAATTGTGCCCTGTTCGAAACAAAAACACCAGGATCAGCACGCCGTGAGATCTTTACCCTGTCCAACTGTTCTTTTCCATCTGTTGAGGGCTCGTTAAAATGCGGTAATGGGTCAGAATGGTACCTCTCTTTGTACGATGTCCAGTAATAATATGGAAGTTGTGGGTCCATTCGTTTTGCAAATTCATTGAAAACCTTTGGCATTTGGTCAAGCAGTGTTTTATGGTCAAAAACTGGGCCAAACATGTCATGGAGCATTCCAACCAGTCCTTCCACATCATCGGTTGAGCTTGCTCTTGGGTGTTCCGGGACAAGATCTCTTGATTGATACTCGCATCGCCGCAGCTCCTGGTCAATGTTTGTTGTCAGGCCAATAATTATTTCTCTAGTGAGCCCTTGAATACCTTTAATTCGTCTAAAAACAATGATATTATGTATGTACAATGCACCAATCCAGAAATTACATCATTTGGCCATACTGCCTCGTTTTCGTGTATTTGAGATTAGTTAAATCCAAGCCTTGCCAATTACGAAACAAGGCTCTATAGCCAAATGACGTAATTTCTAGAAGGGTGTATTATCTCGACAATGTACAAAAATTTGTATGTAACATATCTCCTTACCGAATATGCTCACAATACCATAATTATACTGTGTACTTTTAAAGTTTGCAATTCGTTTCTGCCATTCATGTAATAAACCTCTTATGCATATTCGCATTCCATGCAATCCACATAACAATTCTTTTACATTTTATAAAAAATCTTAAAAATTGTGTCTAAAACAAAGGCTTTCCACGTCCTTGTTTTTCTACTTGACGTCTCAGTGTAGTACGTACCTGTTAACATCAATGGTGCTAAAGCCATAATTGTCACGATGCCAAGGCATCCAGTCGTCGAGAACCCAATTTAGCATCTGCTTGTTATAAAGATGCCGCGTATCTTCGTCTATCCCTCTGCCATCAGAAGCTTTGTGCCAATTGTGCACCAATGTTAGGAAGGCCATCTCATTTGCATGACCATTCTTCTGCATGAAATCAATCATCCCAACTGAGAACATGCGTTCGCAGTCCGGAACTGACTGCTTGTTTACACCAGTAAGAGCAGATTTCGTCAACCCAGTTGATGGATCGTTTAGTGCATCTCTAAAATATTGCAACCTAATATTGGGTATTTCACCAGACCGCAGACAATTGGTGATCCTTTTCAAGAGATGGTTATGGTCTTCTCTTTCGTGAAAGAATTCGCCAGAGTTCTGGTCACATTCTGGATTGTAGATGTGGTTGCGGAAGTCCACACCAGCTGACTCGTAGGTTTGAATCAATTTCTTATAATAGTATGTTGCCATCAGTGACTTGAGTACATCACCAAGGGTTTCGGATTTACCTGTCAAGAATGAGTTTTATAAAATAACATTTGTTATAACATAACATAACATAACATAACATAACATAACATAACATAACATAAATAATCATACAAAAATATTCCTCATAAATCGAGAATTCAAATTGTTTACTAGTCATTTTATTACGTTTCTTTGAATATTTTGTCCGTATCATTCAGGCTATTTACGAAGCCAATGAATAAACGTTAAATGTCCTGTACGGTAAAATTACAATTGCCAAATTGGTTTCAAGAGTTGAGACCCAGGCCCGCTTGAAGATCATTACCACGCGTGGCAATTTTTACCACAGGCGCAATTAAAATGACAAAAAAACATTAAGAACTATATTTCGAGAGGGAAACAAACGATAGCACTGAAAAGTCAAATACGAGCGCGAAAGGCTGTTGGGAGTTGCTAAAAAATTAATGAATTTTTTAGCGATTCTAAGCAGCCTTTCGCGCTCATATTCTACTTTTCCGCTTTGCTTGGAGACAGCCTTAACTGAAACAGCTGTACAATGAGTACATGTACCTGCAATCCATGGATGAGGATCGTAATGAAAAGGATAATGCTTTCTTCTTAGCATGAAAACAGCTTTTTCAAATGCAATGCCGGTCCCATCCCCACTACCGTTCTTCATGAACTCGTGAAGCCATTGCACATCTTCAAGAGGAACAGCTTCATGCCCAAGCTCTGGGAGAACAACTCCTAGACAATAAAGTAATTGCACATAGTCATAGAATAACGAGTCATTGACAATTGGGCGTTTAGGGTGTTCATCTGGGTGTGGATAAAATAATCTGGATTTAGGTTAAGTAATGAAATCCCAATTACACCTTTCCCGTTACGATTTTCCCCACACACAACCTCTGTAATGTACCTTCTTTCACAACAGGAGTTAAGTACTTCTTGATGTCTTGAACTCGGTCACTTTTAGCATGTTTTCTGCCAATCGCAATCAGTTCAATAATTGATAGTGGTCTTTCAGCGCCCATCGTTCGTAAAGAGTTGAACTCTCCGTCCGTGACAAATCCTAGAAAATGATAAAATGTACATAATGTAAACATACTAAGTGGACATAAGAACGGTGTCGACATTATTTTGTTTGCAGTGATATTGCCTATTAATGGATTACTGCATTATGATAATCTGTAAAAGCTATATAGTATACACTACAGTACAAATACATAAGTGTATAACTTGGAATCAAATATGTACAGTACATACCAACACTCAGCATGTCCAGTTTCCTCATTTCATCAACCAACTGCCTCTTTAAATCTCGAACTGTCTTGTCTGTTATTGAACTGTACGTAAGGAATCTCACAGGAATAGCATACGGTTTGATGTTTCTCTGCTCTTCAGAAATCATGAATGAAAACACATGGCTTGCTGCCTCCCTTTGCTTTCCAAATACTCCTTTGCAGTATGGTAGCAAACCTTTGCGCATTTCTGTGAAAAATTTGGCAATGTTTCCATCCAACTGTTCACTATTTTGCAGTCTTAAAACAATTGGTAATATGTCAGATTGGAATGAGAGATTTTGCTTTGACAGTGTTTCATATTCAACAACATCTCATGGCAATGCAAATAAGGTGTTTTCCTTAACATTACTAGCACCAAGTTTCTTCTCATAAGCTTTCTTAGACTCTTTATATCCACCTTTCAATAAACCCAGGTCTTCTTTCAAGATAGACTGCATTTTCGTAAGATCTATTTAAAAAGGTTTTTGTATGTTATACTTGCAGTACATGACCAGTAGCGTAGCCAGCCCGACTATTTGGTCCTGCTATGCAAATATTTTCATGTTCATTGACTGTGAAAACAATCAATTTCTAAAGAAATGAATAATGATAATAATTTTGAATTTGCATAGCGGGACTAAATTATCGGGCTGGCTACGCCACTGTACATGACGTACTGTATAGCATCATTATTAGTTGTTTTATGTATGTACATTTTTTACTATTTTTCTGTTTCTTTGATGCATCAGATGATAACTATTTGGTTTTCAATACTTTTAATTGTAAACACACAATATAGAAAAAAATACCTCTTAATAACTCATTGCCATGTTTTCCAAATGCAAATGTCTTAGCAGCAGAAAGGCGTTGGTCGTAAATTTTTTTCAATCTTGGGGCTTCCCATTGCCAAGGTCAGTGTCTCCAGACCATTCATTTTTCAAACTCTCTCTTAATCCTATCCTAACATCAAAGGCGTCAGCTTTTATCCACCACCTGCCATCTGGGGCTTGTTGCTTTGCAGCTAATAGTGCTTTTACCTGCAAAAATTACTAATTATTAATCATTTCACAATGTTTTTAGGTTGCAACTATGATTTAAACTTTACCAAAATCTTTTTACAAGTACATTTGATACATAGCATATTGGAAATAGACAGAAAAAACCCAGTTCAGCTGTATTCCAATCTAATTTCTGAGTCACTAAACAAACAGGAGCATTACAGTACACTTTTTGCATATGTTAAATAACAAGAATGTGCTAGCCGGTTAAAATTCTAAATCAACAAAGCATTTTCACTCTATTACCTGTATTGAAGTGTCCTTTGTAAATCCAGTATTTTTAATCTTACGTTGAAGTTGGCAGACAGAAAGACCAGCAACATTTACTCGGGCCTGCAATGATAGTGAAACAACATGAATTCAAATGAAAGTAAATGTACTGTACCTGTTGCAATTAAGGTGTATTACAGGTAAACTATGTCAAGCGTTCCTCTTTTGAGTTTCTAAATGGCTTGCGATTTTTCTCATTACCTTTCCAATTTAAAAAACTTCCTTGAGGAAATTTGCAATGTTGCTAAAAGCCAATTAAATTTTCCTCAGTTCCTAACTTCCTGTTCTGTTCTGTTCTGCACGTTGCAATTGGCTAACAAAAATAATCCGCCAATGACAACGCTCAGAACAGAACAAGAAGCCAGGAAGTTAAAACAGGAAGTTAGGAAAGTTAGGAAAATTTAAAATATTGCAACAGGTGATAAAGAGTGTTTCAAATTTGCAAAGCTAATGAGGAAAATTCCAAATGAGTTACTGTAGGAAGTCAAAAGAGGAACGCTTCACGTAATTTACCTGTAATACCCTATTCCACCACATGTAGGAGCCCCCCATATATATATGCATTCACTTCTTGATGGCGATTTTGACTTACCGGTACAAAAATATAAAGAATTGTAAATAATTATTCAATTATATATATGCACATGCACAGGGAGGGGGGACTCTGGGAGGGGTTTGGACAAAAAAATGAGTATTTATAGATTAATTAAATAAGTACCTTTGTTGGATCTCTCTTAACTCGCTTAGATTTACATGCAGATGTCTTGTCCAACCCCCATGCATACGAGTCAAATCATTCATGCTTAATGAAGACTGGCCCATATCCTCTATTGTTTCATTGGTCAAACCTGACCAGAGGGACGACACTTGTGTACTTTCGCAGTGTGTTTCATTGCTGTCGTTGTTATTTGGGCTCACTTCTACAAAATATTAAAAGATCCCAAATTGAGCAGGGTTGCCAGGTCTCAGGGCATGCTCGGAGCCAAACACTGTATAAAATGAGGCCAAATTTTACCAAAAGAGGCCAAACTACTAATTTTTCAAAAAGCCTAAATGCAACCTCGGCCCAGGGCCTTCCTCGCCCTAATGAGGAAGGCCCTGGGGACGAGGTTGGTTAAAATGAAAGTATGAAACGAAATTGAGCTTTAGCCAGTTACATAGGATTTCTGTGTTCATATCCCCCTGCAGGCTAAACAAAGTTATTAATTGAAATTACCGAATCAAAATTGTGGAAAGTCAAGAAATGAGGGCTAGAAAGAGATAACACACACTCTTGTTTTTTTTGTTGATTATATGAATATGTAATTTGTAGAATAAAAAAAAACTACTGAATTATTAACACACATTTGCAAGTTTATAAAATGTATTGTTTGGAGACTTAAGTTAAACACATGCAATACAAATCATTGTCCTATTGTCCAGGTTTATGCAAGAACTTTGTCCTTTTTCGCCACGTGTGTTCATTCAATAGGAATGTTGCAGAATACGTGTTCATGATTTGGTAAACATACAATAGATCGCGTTTTAGACAAATCTTATTAAAAATGTCTTCTACTTTCAATCTTAATGTCACTCTAAAAAGCTGTACAAGTGTCAAGTCAACTCAACATTCAACTGTTTTCTCCTTGTGAATCATACAACTGTTTGACTGTAAACAGCTCGAGCATTCGCCTGGTGGTCTTGAAGTCCACGCAGCAATTCTCTCCAAACTGAAGCTTTGAATGAATACGAATTATCGTGTTCATCAACTCTAGTTTCATCCTGTTGCGTTGCTTGGTCTTGATTGCTGCTAACAAGGAAAATGACCTTTCCACTACAGCATTGCTTACGGGAGTAGTGAGGCAGTTCAAGACGTATGTTGCTAATTCCTTGAATGGCTTGTCTCCAAGTGAAGTTTGAACGTCGGCGACACGAGACCAAAACGCAACCGTTGTATCTGGTATGGTGCCATCAAAGCTAGAATCTTCTTTCCAGTCACGGTGCACGATCTTTCGGTATTGCTCTTCGATCTCATTGACTTTCTCAAATCGTAGGTGAGGAAGGGGCAGCTGACTCACAGGGACTCTTGTTGCTACATTCAACACTTTTCGTGGATGAAGGGCGCTTAAACCTTTGAATACGTTGCTGGTGGCAGGTAGACGCTTTTCGACTTGTGTAATGGCTTCCAAAAGAAAATCTAGGCATCGTGTCTTCACTTCAAGAACTTTAGCTTGAGCAACAGCTTTGTCCTGTTGAGAAGAGATAAATTTCATTGCTTCAAACAGGAACTTCCCACCAAAATCAACATTTTCAATGGCGAGTTGCTCTCTTTCTTGGTTGAAAACCCTTCCACGCAAAGACAAGTGGTGTGTATTCAATTCAGTGAACATCTCTTCGGGATCGGCATCGGTAGCTTGGAAAAATGCATTGACTTGTTCAAATTCAGAGACTAGAGGCGACACAAACTGGAAAAATAAATAAAGAATGGGATCCTTGAGCATGTCAAGAAGCATACGTGCCTTGTAACGGGCATTCTGTTTACTTGCTGGTTGGGCTACGGTAAAATAAGCCTGCAACTCGCTCCAATTGGTCAGAACACGGAAGATCAACTTTCCTCGCACCAACCACCGTGTTGCGGAATACTTCTCGAACGGCGGTAGTTGGTCGTCATCCGGGCTCATCTCATCAACAAGTAAAGAAAACTTCTTTCCACTCACATCGGCAATTAATTCTTCTTTCAGCGCGGGACTTACTATATTAGTAAGAATTTTTGTGCATTTCGCACGATGTATCTTAATGTTCGCAAGTCTACTTCCTGTCGCATTACGTGCGATAATCTCCCCGAGATGATCCATGGTTAGAATTGAAGAATGGCACGCCATTGTCACAGCTAGCTCGATTTCTGCAGTTTTCACTTCCTCGGCGATCGTTGGGTTCCGCACGACTTGAATTGGCTTGACCGACCTTGAAGCTTTGACGCGCAGCAAATGCTTTTCACTATTCTCGTGCTTCGTTAAATTGGATTGCTTGGGTTTCATTGCCGTGTGACACAGCTTACAAAACCCATCCTCACTTCCATCCGATGCTTTCGATAGCCAGCTAAACTTACTTTCCCATGTTTTATTATACTTTCTTCCACCGTCATATGACGCTTTCCATTTGGAGGCCATATATGTGTGTGTGTGTGTGTGTATATATATATATATATATATATATATATATATATATATATATATATATATATATAAAAAAGATTGAAAGTTGGAGCGTACTGTAATTGCAAATTACAATGGTCAGAACTTCCCTTTTTATACAAAAATATTCGTGAGGCGGACGTCTGCGAAAACAGTACCAATTAAGCTTGATCCTATATATTATGATTGGCTATTTTTATACACTTACAATTGGCTGAATTTTGTGAACTGTGATTGGACGAAACAAGCAGCTAAGTTATCCGCATAATGTAGGATGGTTGCTCCAAGAAGTGATACACAAAATGTTGTTTCGTTTTGGCCTGTTTCTCATGATTAATTTAGTATTACACGTGAAATTAAAAATAGCTCTTGAAAATAAAAAGAGGCCAAAAAGAAGCCAAATGGCTAAATTTATTTTTCGAGGCCAAGCAAGAAAAAAAAAAGCCAAATTCGAGTTATTTGGCCTCCAAGAGGCCAATCTGGCAACCCTGTTGTTGGTTCCTTGTTTATAACATTCAATCCGTACTGCGAAAATACAGATTGCATTTTTGCATCAGGACCCGCCGCATAATTTGTATTAAAATCACCAACAAGTAAAATGCTTTTATGCTTTAGCCAAACTTTTTCTAAAGTTAATTGTATTTGATTGAGAATATTGTAATTGATATAGAATTCTGTGTCCCATGGGGGTCTGTAGATAAATCCTAATACAAAAGAGGACAATCTTGAGGAAACTTTTACCCAAATGGATTCTATACTCGGATTATTAAGTTCTCTCACTGCAGTCACAGTTAAATTATTTGCAACGTATAATAAACATCCACTGCCTTTCATGTTTGTACTTTGTTTCCCTTTACATTTTCGTCTGTCTCTCCTTATAATATGATAACCCTCTATAAATAATTGTTCGTCTGAGATTTCACTGTTCAAGTGTGTTTCAGTTAAGGCTAATATCTCAAACTTGTAATTTTGTAATAACATCTTGACCTCATCAACTTTGCCCTGTAAACTACGTATATTTAGTTGTGCTATATTCAATACATTCCCTCTGGTTTTGCGGCTAGATGCTAGCTCTGTTAAGACAGGGAAATAAAAATCTGCCATACAATTTTCTGTAGATTGTTCATCCACAGAAGAAACCGATGTACATAATTTTGGGAGCTCACATAATGCGCATTTCCATGTTGTTATATCAACTCCAAAGTTTCCTGCTTCGCATTTGTAATGAACTTGTGAACACAGTCATTGCATGTCAGTAGTTTCTGATTTCTTCTTAATTACCGCAGCAATTACAGACCTGGTTTTGGCTACGATTTCACCTTTTGTTATCTTGTGAAGCTCCTGGATTAGTTTCAATATCTCCCCCAAGACTAACTTCAATTGGTGATAGCAGTAAATGTCCATGCTTTGTCCACTTTACAATCGGATACTTGATTCTTGACCCACTCAGCCGATTTGGATGATTAGTTGTAGTTGATGCTTCAAAGGGTGGTCTAGTTTTATGTGCAAAGCTGTCACAAGTCCATCTAGAACAGTGGGAGGAACGATAATCAGATCGTTGGACGAGGAGACAGGAGTTTGACGATGTACGACTAATAAACCGTCTTTCGCGATGGTAGCGACATTAAGATATCGTTTTACGTCCTTGATGTTGGTAATCCTTTTAGACAGACGGGTACCTTGCTTAAGATGGGCATGTGTACGTCGGAGGTCCGGGCATTCTGACTGGATTTGAATCCAGGCTGAGCAAGTAGTGAATGGGAGACCAGATAACCCGCGGATATCTTGAACAGATGTGGACCGGACCCATGTTAAACACAGCTTCGAATGGACCAACTGCGCCATTGTACCCGGTGATGGTGGGGTCGAATACATCATCATGGGCTTCTAACAGGCTGCAGAAGCTTTGACAGGTGGTGGGTGGAAGAATGTTGTCGGGATCCACGGTTACACAAGAAGAGTGTGAGGATGCAAGAGGTTTAGGAGTGACATGCGGTACAGTATGCTGAGGGAAGGGGTGTGTGCTCTCCTTGGTGTCTAGAGTCTGGGTCAAACGAACTTGGCAAAAATGTTCATGACGGGATATGTGCTTAACTACTGATGTATCATTCAGTATGCGGACTCGTCCTGCGACAGCTTCGAGAATTTGTGGGCGTGGCCAATCACTCGCGGATTTAGCGCAATCTGGGCGTGGCTCCACGGCAAGGGTGCTGTCTGGGTCAATTTCATGAGGAATGGGAATCTCTAGGTATTCACCGGGCCAGATCACTGTAGGAGTTGGTGGAGCTCGAAGAATGTGTGCCTGGGTATGTCTAACAAGGTGTTCCTTCCGATTGGGGAGATATGTATTGTAGTGGGTGATGTCTGTACCCTTGATTGTAATTTGTTGCTTTGAGGGTCGAATGGAAATGTCATTGGTCACCATAAAGGGGGTTCCCACCAAAACGTCAACGTCTAAATTGTTTACGACCAGGGCATCAAGATGGAGGGTATAGGAGTTACGTGATAAATCCAGATGGATTTCACCAACAACGCTTAGTGAAGTAATTCCGTCAGCCTGTAGAGCTGTTTGTTTGGTTTTTTGGATAGTGGCGCCAATTTGTTGGGCAATAGATGACTTAATCATACTGGTCTCGGCACCAGTATCAAGAGGTTGTGGAACACTTTCAGGTGCGGGGATTGTTTTGTGCTAACTCGGTAGGCGGTAGACTTGACCCGATTGTTCTTGAAACAGGATTGGTCATCTGGTTCTGGCTCTGAGTCTGACCTATCAGACGGTTCATGTTGATCAACAATGACTTGTCGTGTGCAAGTTAAATATTGACGGTCTTCATTAGGAAGAAATGGGCACTTTACTTAAGTAGTGTTGGAACTGCGATCTTTTTGCTTGTTTACATATGGGGCAGCACTTGGTTGCCCTCCCTTGTCGTTACTGGGCTGGGAAGATGCACTACGATTGTCACGCTGTTGTGAGGATCGTCGAAAGGCTGTGCGTAGAACTTCAGCCTAATTTGAAGAATGAATTTCGTCAAGGAGGGCGTCTAGAGCTTGAGATATTTCAGGTTTGAGGCTGGCTAGTGTCTGTGATCGGAGTTCTGTCCCGTAACGTTGCTTAACTAAAGTGGGCAAATCTACATGAATTGTAACGCAACCATGTCAGTACAATTATGTTTTCAAGCGAGGGTGTTAATTCTTCGTCCGTGGAAACGTCTTCGCCATGATGTCAGATATTACCATTAGCTGTGAGTAAATTGTCATCGATAAAACTCAGAAGTCGCTGATATAAGTCCTCGGGGCGCTCGTCAGGTTCTAAACGAATGTTATTAAAATCGAGAAAATGTGCCCCAGTGGACTGAAAGCCATAATGTGCACGAATTGCTTGCCAAATTGTCCTCATAGATGTTGAGTTCTTAATGATTGTGTTTCGTGCAATGATGGAACAATAATTGGCTACTTGGCCGACCATCAACTCCAAGTGAGTTAGCTTTTGGGCGGCTGTACATCGGCTGGCTTCTGGAACGTCTTCGCCATCATTTTCGAGACCACGTAGTGGGGCTGTAGAAGTCTTTCGCAGCCATGTTGTGTCTTCGAGTAAAAATATGGCGAAGTGTGGTCTAAGGCAAGGGTGTATTGAAGATTTTGGTGCCAGGCTTTGTATGAAGTGATAGTTTCCTGCTTTGTCAGGGCCCACTGTTTTGGAGCTTGACTTGTAGCCATGTCTTGTTCATAAATATGTGTCGTATTAACACCTACAGATGCAAGCTGCTTCGTTTTCGACTTGTTGTCTGAGAGTAATTTCTTATTGACTTTGATTGTATTTGTTGAGCTATTCCACTTTATTGGAGCTCTTTGAGAATTATATTGAAATTCTCAGTAATGGACCGCTGTCACCACGCCAGTAAATAAGAGAAAACACTCAAGACGAACGACACAATATAAAAGATATATTATACAACACGAAATCACAGATGTTCGCAAGCACTGAGCGGGGCTTAATATATTTATATTGTCAACACTGTTCGAGTGTCAATCAAAATACGTCACTGTCTGATGTGACATACTTCCTGTAACTTTAACATATTAATAATGCTAATCAGAGTACGTCATTGTATGTGCGACGTACTGTAACTTTAACATAACAATAACAATTGTGGCGTTGTTACTCTTCCATCCAAGCCATTTCCATTCCACTAATAATGATTGTAACCTTTTATAATGGTTGGAAACTAAAAAATAGGTACGCTAAGCGTACATGTATCTGCTCATGGTGATTGCACTTTTGCCAAGGCTTCAATCAACACTCAGTAGCTTGTAAAAAAATTTAAGGGACTGATGTTTAACAGTTGACCAGTTAAATAAAGTTAGATTTATAGTATGTCAGATGAAATAAAAATAAAATGGCTGATATATATTCAACTTGTAGAAACTAATTCCTAAGATGATATTCAATTTTATGATGTTCTTGTTGAATCATCTTAATTTTATAATGTTCTTGCAGGGATGGATCCAGCGTGATCTGATAGGGGGGGGGGGTACCGCTCTGGTGCCGAGTTGTGTCGGTCATGTGTGTCACCCACCCATCAACTTCCTTCACTATTGCAAAGTCTTGCTTGCTACAGTATTTGAATTGTAATTGTTGTTCACAGCTTGCCTATCATCATATTATTACTCAAATTTCTGTATCTCATTTTGTTTCTAATAATTTTTTGTTTATCATGAAAAATAGGATCCCCCCTCCTGCACCCCCTCTGGCCAGGGCTAGGGGGGTGCACCCCCCCCCCCCCCCCCCCCGCATCCTCCCAGTAAATCCATCTCTGTGTTCTTGTTAAAACATTTCGGGTTCCAAATCTTCTTGATAGTTCATAATAAACTTTAGCAGGCATGCGAGAACATGGTAGATGCATAGAAGTTGTCAGGATAACAGGTGGTGCCAATACACATTGTTGTTCATTAATTGATTCATTGACATTATTGACACTCCCCTGAAGGGGCTTTCAGCGACAAAAATTACAAACACATAAACTTACTGTATTATTACTACATTAGTCTTAATTAATTGTATTGAAACAGATTACTAGCAAACAAGGAAAATTTCACAAAAACTGCGACAGAGACAACATCAACAACAACAACAACAACAACAACAACAACAACAACAACAACAACAGCGGTGATAACACACCAACAGTAGCATCGACAACACTTATTGATCAACTACTGAAAAACAAGTACTTAATAACTATCCAGGAATTGCTGGAGAAGTTTATGTCTTGGTTTTAACTTTACATTTTGCAGAGTTTTGGAAGGCCTTCTTATACCATAATTGATACATAACATCAACATTTCTGCTGTTTTTAATTGTTTTTAAATATAATCTATTTCCTTTTAGAAAATGTCATAGTCAGAGTTAATGGCACACAAATAAACTGTTTATGCCTAGTAAATATATCAAATAGGTCATATATTGAAAGTCATTCATCAGCAACAAATGATGACAAGTATGGAAATTAGAAGTATAATCGATGCATATAGTTCTTGAATAGAATGATATAATTCAGCATAACAGACCCATGCAATAATATTTTGTCGTGGAAGAAAATCCACTAAACAGAATATTGTTAGTTTTTACATTGTGTGCTATATTAAATAATATCCATTATGACATATTATTCAATGCACATACTGCTATAAAGTGCTTTAAGAGAAATGTTTCCAATATGTGTGACTTAGCTTCTGACTCTGCTAAATTTGTATAAAAATTATCTATCAAAGTCTGTAATGAAAGCAGACACCAATTGTCTATAGTTCTAATCATTGATAAAGAAATTATGTAACCTTACGAAATTATATAGCCTTCTATTGGTTTCATTCAACTAATTTATGTTAACTAAGTCACCAATGAAAATGTTAAATTGAGAAGTACATAAACATCAACACTTACAACTCGATATACACCAACAACGGCAACATGTGGAAGAATCATTACTTTCATAATTTCATAATAGTATTCTCAATGCCATTAGTCAATAATTTTCTTGTCCAAAATTGCAAATCATTTCGTTTCCACTACGTATTAAATGATGAAACCTTTCAAATGCTTGCCAAAAATGCACTATCGACATTTGCCATATTCAGACTAGTAAAATTACGTTGTTTTTAAAATGCATTTGATGTATAATTTTAATCGTAAATTCACAAATTGCCTTTTGTTTCACCCTTTAGTAAGCCGCCATTTTGAAATTAGTATCATTACATCATTTCATCTATAAGCTGTCGTTGATTGGCTATGAGCACGCTTACAAATTTCTGGTACGCGCACAATGGCAATATATCTGCTTCGCAGATACAAAAATCTAAACAAAATATAAGAAATACGGCATTTTATCACCCTGTAAAATTTTGCTCATGAGTCTTTCAAAACATTCCGTACAAATATCGCGTGACAAAGTAACAGGGATGTGACAGGAAGGGGTGAATTATTTCACAAAGATAGAAAAAGGCTGTGTGAAATAGATTAAAAGCTAAATACAATCATACAAACGTTTCTTTTATTTCTTGTAGAGACAAATATATACATATTATTATTTATTAATATGAAAAAGCCAGACAAATGAAATGTGTTGATTGTTGGTTTTACCATACTGTGTGGGCTTTCCTTTCATTTTTCAAGTTTCTACCCCCCTGCCAAGTCCCTGTTGCTAAACCACGCCAGATTTGTACGAAATGTTTTGAAGGACTCGTAAACAACATTTTACAGGGTGATAAAATGGTGCATTTCTTATATTTTGTTTAGATTTTTTAGTTTCCTACTGTTATAAACGGTTAAATGTATTATTAGTGGAATGGAAATGGCTTGGATAGAAGAGTAGCAAGGCTGAATTGTGTTGACAACTGACATGGGATGACAAAATTGTGCCGAATTTGGACAAAGTTGTGGATTTACCTTGTCAATGGTTAAACAAATATGATCTACTTGAAACCAAGTTGAAACCAAGTTGAAACTTGTTTAAAATGTTCTTGATACCATTATGTCTGAGATGATTTACATTTTTGTAGGATGTCGACGGGATCGCCAATAAACAGCGGAGTAAAGTGGAGAACTTGGCCAAATACATCCATTTGCAGGAGGTAGGCACATTTCAAATTATTATTTCGGTCAGAAAATATTAACTATTTTACACCAAACTAGTGGTAATATATTTAAATAAGTACCAATTATGTTTCTATCAAAAAGATTTAGGGAAAAAGGTAATGTAAGTCCACTGCTGTTTATCTGAAGTTGCAAGCCACAAATTGACGTTTAACTATGATTATTGCATGGTCATTTTCTTGTGAAATATTAGTGCTAGGCATGTCACACTTACCAATGACCACCCCCCAAAAGTACCGTCTCTGAACCATATAAGCACCTCAGAATAGCCAAAGCTTTCATGGTTTAGCTTTCGTCGTTTTTGGGTGTGGTCAGTTTCAGACGTTTCATCCCGGATTGGGGTTCGGGCAGCATTACCATGTTGACTGTCATGGTCAACTTGCCCTAAAACAGTTGAGATTATCTGCCCTAAATGAAATGCATACAAACTCATATACAGGTCCTAGACTAAATGGTATACGCATAAAATTCTAATAAAAGTTCATATAGTGCAAGCGCAGAGATTTTATAGTAGTTTATACTAAGTTTAGTTGATCATCTATAAAGCGTGTCAAAAAATAATCAAATGCATAGACTGATATGAACTTGAATGAAATGACTAGATGAACTGAAGGCACAGACAATTATGAATTTATGTGCAAATTTCATTGCTTCATCAATGTTGAAATTTGAAATAATTTAGTGATCGTAACTCAAGTACTCCGGCGACGTTATTGGCAACAAGTTGCTAGATTATTTATGAAACCTTAAACTCTATTTAGTTTAATGCCGGAACCAGTTGACAACATGATAATGTACAACAAACATATCATTGCACATCTGGTTGTTGTTTTAAAAGATAAGCTGTTTGCATGTAGTAATTACAAGGATGCGGCCAATCAGGAACGCGTCTTTTCTGCTTCAAGGATCAATTTGATCGCGTCTTCAAGTGCGTGCAAAACGTAGTCTGGTCGCAATCGGACGCGGTAAAGACACATTTTGAGGTGCGTCCAGAACGCGGTAATATTGCAGTCGAGTGCTCCAATACTTCTAAGCGGTACTGTGCCTTCTGATGAAATGCCTGAAAAGATATGTCAAATGTGCAAGGACAAATTAATATCCAACACATAAAATACATTTATAATTATATAATATTTGGGAAAAATATCAATGTCGTTTAACTGTATATATTGGGTCAAAATAGTGAGTTTATAGATTGTTTTGGGGAATATTACCTTGGTTTGAGGTTCTACCATATAATATTGAATATGATTGAAACTACACAAGTCATTGACTGCCTTCTGTTAATTTAGTCTAATCATTTGTCACAACACAATCATTATGCATACATCTACAGTAAACAGAGGACACAAGTGTGACTGAGGAAAGGAACAGGACTTGTGTCCCAATTGACACCTGACCCCAACATTAAAACTAGACTTTGCTGCTTGTTGCACACCACAAGCCCAATGACTTTTCTCATGATTTTGTGACAAGGTACACATAGACATTAGAGGCATTTGTAAGCAAATATCAGTATTTCTAGCTATTTCTCAAACAAATCACTGACCTAAAACTTATTTTGCAACAGAATCCTAAGGACCCTCAGGAAGGCCATGGGATCAAGTAAACAACAAGCAGCCAAGCACATTTGTACAGTACAAAGAACTTTTATAACTTATAGATCTAAGTAAAGCCAGGAGGGCTGTAAGAAGTTAACTTATATACATAATGTTTACATATACTAATTTTGAAAGAGTTAAGCGAAACACAGATTTTTAGATCTGCTGGTAGACTGTTCCACAGACTTACAGATCGGACAAAGAACGAGTTTCTAAAGTACTGCTGTTTATGTTTTAAGAGGAAATAGTAATTATTTTCATTATAATTGCAAGATCTAAAACCAGGCTCGTATGAACATAAAAAGTTATTAACGTCCATGGGAATCAGTACGGTTTTTTACTTGTAGAGTAGCATCAAGTCTGTGATCTGTCTGTGGAATTCTAATGGAAGGAGGTTGGTTGTGATCAATCTTTCCATGGCCATTAATTGTACAAGAGTGAAGGATCGTCTTTCTTAAATACGGCCGTGATATTAGCATGTTTCCAATTAATGGGTACTACGCCAAGTGAGAGAGACATGTTGAACAGTCTGTTTGGTATTCCAGTAGTCCAATCAATATGAGGCAAGTGAAAGTCGCCACAAATGGATGACCTGGTCAAATTTGTTGGTGTTTTGAACAAGCTGCAGGGATTCATTGAGTTGCTTGATGTAGTTCAAGTCTGTGTCAGGTGGTTCTTATTTTCTGGATGAATTTCACACACTAACATCTCTGCATTGCTTTTGAGATCTTTTCTTCGGACGCTTAGGATGGTATTACGAACTGCTAACAATGTTCCACCGCCAGTTCTCAGCCATGGATGGCAAATTCATTTCCAGGCAAGAGTTCACAGTTTGCAATTTCGGGTTTAACCCAAGTTTCAGTAACGAGTGTTTGAAGTTCAGTAATCTTGTTAGTTAAGCTTCTTGCATTGAAATGGGACATCGCATGAGTGAATGTTAGTGACATCATCAGGACCGGGGGATGATTCAGTGGTGCGAGGTGGAGTAGTACAGGGGACCAGGGTTTGTAGCCACATCACCAGCCAACAAAATTAATAAAACAACATGACATGGATTCCTAAATGTTATCCTTTAGGGTAACGAAAATGTGCCAAATGACCTGATTCATATACAGCGGGTGATGGTGAAGCTGTTTCTCATCTACACATTGAGAGGCTTGTGGCTGAGACAGTGGCAAAAACATTGCCACTTGCCTTATCAAGTGTCCTAGCTGCAGGGGACTTTAAATCATTGGGTGTAACACCTACACAAAGTATAGAGTCTGCAGCCACTGACCAGGTACAAACACAGCCTGGCTCGTCTGGAGGGGATTGCTTTTACATCACTGAATCAGAGGTTGAATTCTCTGATGATTTAAGGGAACGAACCACTCAAGCCTTTTCAAAATCCCTATACCAAAGGAAGCATGGCAAGGTCTGCTTGAGAATTATCCATCCCTGAATCAATATTACATGCCCACAATGGAGGCCGGTACATGGGTATCTTAAAACTAAGGATGTGTTTGCATTTGATGATGCCTTGGCTGAAAAGCAGGGAGCATTCTTTCTTACTGCACGACCAATCCTAGCAGCACACACTGCACTTGATCACCCCAGTGAGGAGGAGGGTCCAAATCCTGATCTAGTTAAGGGAATGCTTCTAAATGCCCTAGTCCTTCTAGGCAATGCTAATGTTTGTCTAAATTCATGGCCACAGCATCGATTTTCCAAGTACCTAATGGATGTTGGCAAGTGTACCGTTAAGGAAGATCTTCCCAGATCGGTTTCATAACAGTATCAAAGATGAGCATAATCATACTGCCAACCTTTGGCAAGATTGTTTCCTTCTCAGCAGCCCTTTTGTGGTCGCTCAGCAGCCACCAGCCAGGGTGATGGCATTCGAAAACAAAGGTGGAACTATACCCACCAAGATAACAATCTGGTAAGCTGAAAACGATTCTAATCCAGAACAGAGTCAGCAGGCAAAAGTGGACTATCCATTTCAACGATTAACAAACATACTATTGCACACACTCCCAACTGCAGGCTGCCTAATTCATTGTTTAGACAAAAAGAAAATTCAGACATTATGACAGCAGCACCTCATAGTCAGAGCTGTAGGGGATTTTTTGGTTCAGATTCTTCCAAAAGCACCAAATTTGGCCCAGATGTTGCCCATACCATACTTTTTTTATTTTTGGTGGGCGCCAAGGTCGGCATCCTCTGGGACCGTCTTATTGGAGAAATCCAATATGGCCGCCACCAGGGTTAAAAATCAATTATAGTCGAACAACCAAAAAGGCAACAATCATGAAAAATATCACTTTTTAAGGCATTTCTGGGTCAGACGATCTGATTTTGGATATTATAGGAACGGTTCGAGGAAAAAGAAATCTTAAAAAGTACATTTAAATGTCTATTTTGACTAATTATATCGCTTTTCAGTGTTCATTAACCTGAATATAGTCTTAATTTCAGGTCATAGTCACTCGTGTAATGATAAAAATTGACGATAGATGGAGGAACAATTTTTATTAACAATTTAAATGTTAAAAATGGATACTAGGTCTGCTGATGCGTCGCTAAATAAATTTTAAAAACCCACATTGCACATTCAAATACTGGTTTATTTAACATTAATTAATGAAACCTGGTTTATTTAACATTAACGTCATATAGGTATACGCTCTGGATTTTAATATATCTTGTTCGCAACTTGTGTTACTGGTCATCTCTACCCTCGTTATTAAGGCACCCGCCTTCACATTTGCAGAGGGCTGTGCATTTGATACCAGCTCGTTTGCATTAGCACCTTCCTTGGCATGCCTTGAGGCAAGCGCAGTGCAATAGAATGGCGCATGCCACTGAAGCATCTATGAGTGTGGTCCATAAAGGTTGCCATGTACTGCTTCCATCTTTTTGCCAGCCCCCCTCAGATAAGTCGGGGATTTCTTGCTGGACGGAGGTGGCCTTATCCCAGTAGAAACTGGCCTGCAATAATGCTTGTTTTCACATGCTGGAATAGAGCGGCTTGGGTAAGTGGGAGGTTGTCCAATGATCTGCTTCCATTGGTGAAGAGACGATGCCTCACTTTGTTCACTCTGGTAATACCACAGCCCTTGCTGTACATAAGGACAACGAAGCGTTCAATCCACTGCGTGAAACCAACCCGGAGCTCCGGTAGGCCGAGCGTATCGAAAAACCTGACTGTCAATACTACGACGTCACTGTCTACCATGCGAACATAGGCTGTTGTATGACCCTGTTGTACGGCATGGGCCAGATGCAGGAGGATCCTTTTGTCTGCTTCGGAATGGTTGCAGGGCTGGAGTGTTGTAAGGTCACAATCTCTATTGGCAAGCACGGTTTCGAAGTGTGTACTTTATAGCAGAAGCTTCCCGCCCATGTCAATCTTCGAGATCTGTGTGCTGATGAATGAGAACAGCTCCTTTTTGTTCCCCACATTCTTGAGAAAGCCACTATTCCATTCACGCTTCAGGATTGGAGTGCTGCCATCGCCGACTCTTGTCCGTGGGCCATTTCCGCGTCGTTGTTGAGTGAGGGCTTTAAGGTTATTTTCCTCTGGGTAATTATCCCATACAGCGTCGATGCGTTGGGTACTATTCTTCATTTGGGCCTCCAAAAATGGTATGATGTTGAGTGACACATATTCGTTAAATGTCTTGGCCATGTGGATCACTGCCACCATATCCAACACTACGACCGTGGCTTGTGTTGCAGCAGATGCACGGCCAGTCGGCGCATTGAGGCATTCGAGTACGTCAGACTTTGTCCCAGCTCGCAGTGACCCTTGATCAGCTAGGCTCGGTGGTTCTCTTTGATTTTCGAAGTGGAAGAAGTCCATCATGTCGGCATCAGGACACGACTGAAGTGAAAGGACAAGTTGCGTTATCAACGTCATGTTCTGCTTCTGTGTGCAATTGTCCTTCTTGCCTTTTCTCTTGAGGTCAGGTAGGTTGGCGAAGGTGAACATGTAGTTCCGCTTGATGGTATCGGATATTGGTACTGAATCCTTTTTCCAGCCTTTCCACGACATATGCTGCGTGAATGGCTTGGCCCACTGCATGGATTTGAGATAGAGAAGTCACAACGACCTGTTCCATGACATTCTGTGTATCGAGTCCAACAAGTTCCTGACATGTGGCAATGAATGGGTTTCCCGTGTGCACTACCACGTCGACAAACGATTGTACATCCTTGCAAAACTTGACTTGCAAGCTGTGCCCTTCGTGATAAGCAGTGGATGAAGGTGGTGGGTCGTAGACGGCTTCAAATTCTTCAACTATCCGCGCACAATCAGGCCCGGCCAATATGAACAGTGCAAGGGCCTCTGGATTCTCATAGAGTCCAGCAGCTCCGCCATGTGCCTGTAGGCTTTTGTTGGACTGTTTGTGTGCTTGATCTTTGGTGATCATGATCAGGCTGAATTTTTTAGCAGACTTTTGTACCACAAAGTTTCCCTTCATAAATTCAGCATATACCTCTGGGTGATTCTCGGGTAGCTCGACCATGTCGCGTACATGTAGTGGGAGCCAACGTGCGTCGTTCGCATGGTCCAGTGCGTGAAACCAAGCACAGAGTTCATTGCATGCCTGCACATACAGTAGGAAGTCCCCCTCTCGAAGGGATTGGACAAAGCGGGCCATCACAGATCCAACTCGATAATGGTTGACCAGAACTTGAACTGGGTAAATCTAGGGAACGTTCACTCCACATTTCGAATGACTCAAGTGGTCCCAATATACTTTTGCAATACTCTGACTATGCTGTCTGCTTGAGTAACGACAGTGACATGAAGGAAACTTGATGGGCGTACCTTGTCCACTTTATGTGATGCTCGTTGAGCGCCGATTGTGCACTTTAAGTCATTTTATGCATTAGTCGGATGTTTACAAGTAGTAGATTGGAAAATAGTCAAACATGGTTACATTGTAGTCAAACTATAATATGTTAAACATGCAGAAACTTTCTAAATTCATAAATTCAATACACAATACAAATACATACAACCACATACCTCTTCCTCCATGATGCGAAACGGAAGTCTGAAGTCCGAAGTCTGAAGTCCCTAGTCGGCTTTCGTACTTTTCAATGGCGTAGATGTTCATGCTTCTAAAAACATTAAGGGGGGACCTAACCTAAACTTTGACTCAGATGGCGATTTTTTTTGAAAAATCTGATACTTCAGGCATAGAAGAAGACTATGAAAAGAGTTTGGGGGGAAAATTACATTATTTGTGTGCTTAGAATGCATTTTAAATCACTTATATTATGGTTACCATGGTTACACAATCTGGTTTTTATTTATGTACCTATGAAACTTCGCCAAATAGCGACTGAAGTTTCAAAAAAGACCTGGGGAAAAAAGAATATAGAATAAAGAATCTATGTTGCTTATTACATGAAGTATGACAACTATGTTTAAGGCCCCATTTGCTCATGGGACAGCTCATGACACAAAATTTGAGAGAGATAGCGAGTGTGAGTTTTCTAACAGCAGAGTTTTAGCTTAAAATACCCGGAACAAAACATAGATCTGTATACAGAAGAAAGAGAAAAGGAAAACCTTTTACTGGGGATCAAAAACATTCAGAAAAAAGAAGGAAAACATTGCCAGAAGAGTCTCAAATGGCTGGGTTAATACCAAGTTCGTTGTGTGATCAGCCCTCATCAAGTTCCAAAAGTGATGAACCAATAAGCGCATCAAGACTGAAAATGAGGCCACAAAATTCTTCTACCTGTCCTGCAGAAAGTCCTGAAGATGGAGAACCTAGTCAGAGCAAGGGATACAGACTTGTAGACCTGAAGAGTTTGTCTTGAACTCTATCAGAGGCTCACATCTGCGCTGAAGGTAAGAACACATTGAGACAGTCACCCTCTCAATCAGGGGCAGTGATGTTTTTATGGCATAATATATACTATGATTGAAATTGTGTTTAGTTTTATTTTGTTTTTTAGTTTTAAAGGTTTCGTTTCTGTTCAATTGTTTTGAATATTGTTTATTTCATGTAAACACCAGCATGTTTGGTGTTTTAGTATGCAGACTAAGTACTGTAATTTGAGAATGAAGATTTTAAACCACATATCTTATATATTGTTATAACATTCTAAGTCGTCTAACTATAAAAGAAAATTCTTCTATGAGAAATGACCTGATGTATGAGCTCTTAGCAGAGTGTAGTTCATGCTCTGAAACTACACCATTGAAAACATCCTTCTCAGTCATCAATAAAGGGCAATCATTTGATGTAAACCGACGTGCTGTATACCATTCATTGGAGACAGGTGGTGGTTATGAAGGACTGGTGACCTTTTGCAGCATTATGAATATGCCCTGTATGTCATCATCTGCTTACTACAAGCATGTTGACACCATACTTGAAGCTCTTGAGGCTGAAGCCAAAGATGAAATGAGGCAAGCAGGGCAGAGAGTTCGCAAACACATATTTAATGAAAATGGAGTGGAAACCAGTGATGATGTTGTAGGTGCGGATGTCTCTTTTGATGGAACATGGGCAAAGAGAGGATTTACTTCATTGACTGGAGTAGTCTTTGTAATAGCAGTGGATACTGTAGAAGTCCTTGATTACCATGTTTTTGCCAAAGAATGTTGTAAGTGCACCATGAAGAAAAGTCAGTGCAAAACTGATGAGGAGTTTGAAGAATGGCAGATTGAACATCTTTCTTCCAATCAATGTGACATCAATTTTACAGGTAGCTGAAGGTGCAAAAGTATTGTGGAATAGGTCTGTGGAACTTCACAAAATTAGGTACAAGTGGATGGTATCTGATGGTGATAGTAAAGCATTCAGTGCTGTAGAGGATACATATGAGGAATGCAAGGTTGAAAAGTTAGACTGTGTCAGATACGTACAAAAGAGAATGGGTAAGTATCTCCTGAATCTTAAGTCGACTACCAAAAGCAAGCTTGCAGATGGCAAATCTATTGGAGGTAAAGGCTGACTAACAGAGGTTAGGATCAAGCACATTCAAAGATACTAATACTATGGTCTTGCTATAAGACAAAATACCTTGTCAAACCCAAACTCAACAGAAAAGGAAGTTGATGTGGCTGTTTACACAATGAAGAAAAATATTATTGCCATTCTTCACCATTCCATCCAGTCGAAAGACCTGGCTAAACAACATCGCTACTGTCCTGTTGGAGAGTCTTCCTGGTGCAAGTGGCAACAAGACACTGCGACTGGAACAAACACTTACCAATCAGAGGACTGTCTACCAGAGGTATTTTGTGAGTTGTTGCACCCAACTTTCATGGCACTAAGTCAGAGAAAACTTCTCGAGCGATGTGTACGTGATGCAACACAAAACTGTAATGAAAGTATTAATCCACTGGTATGGGCTTGTTGTCCAAAGAACAAGCACCATGGTGCCAAGGTAATTTGTTGCGCTGTAGCCTCTTTCATCTGCCACTTCCACAGTGGAGCTTCCTCAAATGTGAGGGTGATACAAGCAAAAACTATCCATTCCAGCAGGAGTTTTTACAAAGCAGGCATCAACTAAAAAGGACAAAAGGCGAATAAAGAAAGCGGACCAACAGGCAACAGACAAAGCAAAGAAATGACGGCAAGGGATCCAGCTAATGTGAACTCGCTGTGAAGAGGTCCTCGGGGAAGCTGAGGGAGTAACATATGAAGCAGGAGCCTTCTAGCTTTTTTAACTTGTCAGGTGCAACATAATTTTGTATCATTTATGCCACTTGAGAACACGTAGGACCATTTAGGACTGTCCGCATATTTTAACTTTAATCCATTTTTCTCAGAATAAGCTTTTTGCAACTTTGAGAAAAGATATCTTGATAGGAATTTATCCAATTGACTTGAAATTTTCAGTATTAATTCATCTCAGACAGATTTTGGTAATACGCATAGGATTTGGTAGTGTGATGTTTATATCATAAGATATTGGGGGAAATGTTGCCAAAATTATGGATAAAAGTTTAGGCAAATTTTAAACAGCCACAGAAACCAAAGCATTTAGTGTTTTGAAAAGTTCTATGCTCATTACCTTAACCAACCTTTAAGTTATAGATTAATGTGAAAATCTTTCAATTCCATCAATCCTAGGGCAAGATATCTTTTCTCAACTGCACTATGGTGGAAAAAGTATTGAGTTACAATCTTTGATCAGTATCAGATTACTAATTAATTTTTTGTAACAAAAATGCTTGTAGCTACATTCTATGACTTACAAGCTTTCTAGTGATATATAGTTTTACCTGGTTTATATAAATACTCTTCATGTCATAATTCAATGTAAAATGGCATACTTTTTAGGTTAGGTCCCCCCTAAATATTATATAAATATAGTTTTGTATTGTTTATTTTGGTGCTGTCACTGCCATTCTGTTAACTACTGTATATTGAATCACCTTTGGTAAACCTTTATGCAAAATAATATTGTAAAGATGGATATTTTATCATCGTATATGGTATAAATGATAATGTAACTCTCTTCACACCTTGTCCTTGACATATATTTATCTGTTCTTCAACATCAACCATGTGGCTCTCATTGTTAACAGATTTTGATACTACATTTGCCAGATTTAATGTAGTTTGTTGCCGTTTTCGCTGAATAATTTTATTAGATGATGATTCCCTAAATACCCAAACGGAATATATTGCATATAAGTTACGCTCATTCTCAAAACTGAATTGAAAAACAAATTGAAACATACCTTCGACGAAATTCCAAAGACAGCAAGTGTGCAGCAAAATCGCTGTCACTGGATTTCTCGTAGCCAGCCACAATTTTGGCCTGTTTCCAAGAATCAAATATATTGAGGTTCAAATATATCCTTTTATGACCTTTCTCCCATGACTTTCTGCAATCTTTTCAGCTCAAAAACACCTTTTTTTGACCGGAATTTTTCCTTGAGCCTCTGTGCATGGTGCCTGTATTAGACGCCATATTGAAATGCAAAACTTGAAAAAATTCACCCAATCTTTTCAAGTTGACTCATGCACAGAACAGATGCGCAGCAGGTGGCACTGCTGCTTTAAAGTACATATTTATGTAATTAAATTAAATTATGGCGTTACCTGTTTCATTTGCATGCATATTAACGGAGGATTTTTCATCAATGAAAATTAATAATAAATCGTTGATCAATCAATGAAAGTCACAACAAAAGAAGCCATCGATTATTCATCGATTTCCAATATCAATTGATTGATAAATATTGATTTGGTATGGACTGCTATTGATAATTATCGATTTGATTAAATATGCCGGGTATAAATCTCTAGAAAATAATGAAGTTTTTTGCTGAATTGTGCACCGTTGGCTTATTTCACTAAATCGAAATCATTGCGCCTTTCCTGCCTCATATCCCATCCTGACAAAGCGGGATAATAAAAACAGCCCCTTATTCAGCAAATTTGTGCATGCTGCCTTTGATTCCTTGGGGCCGAGACAGCATTTTCCTTGCGATAGTAACTTCTAGTCAATACATCTGACCCACATGAAAGAACATTCTTATTAAAAAGCACAGACAAGTCAGATAATGTTATCAAAAGATATCAATGGTGACCAAAGTAATTGCAAAATTTATGTCTACCAGATTTTGTTGCATGCTATAACTGCAAACGTGCGAATAAAGAGCAAAAAAACTAAACCGAATTTACCTTTAACAAATGATTATTTTCCAGAAAATAATTTGAATGATAATGTAGATGATGATCTCTCTCACCAGCATCTCCCATCCAAGGGCTTTTGGGGTGAAGACCCTGGGTATGTTGGTGAGCACTTCAATGTTATTAAACCTTGGTCGATGTTGCATGATCTCATTTAATAATTTGCAAACTATTTTTTTCCTCTTCTCTATGTGTGCAAACAATTTATTTGCACTTTTGTTGTCTGTGCAAACAATTTAAGAATTTTCCATCCCCCCTCCAAAAAAATAATGGTCCGTCCCTAATACACTCAGATTCAATAAAAACAAAGATCCTGAAAATTACTGTAGAGAACAAATTATGCTTAACACTCTTTGAAGAAATGAAACTACAGATCTTCTGAAAGACTTCCAAACTTACAGGATCGATTTGAAGTAGTCAAAGATGTGATCCAGCACGAGAATCATACTGAAGCTCTTGATCAGGCAGTAGAACATATTGTAAGTGAGGAATTTGGTAACATAGTTGCTCCAAATGCTGAATATTGAGATGAACAAGATAAAGAAGTTGTCCCAAAAGTGAGTGAATTATTTGGATGTTTTGATCCAGGAAAAGATAAATAACATGCCCAGTATGACCTGATAATTGTAGATTATGCAAGTCTTTTTTAACAGATGCAGTATAATATTAATTATATGAGAGGTATGAGACGAGATTTAACAATGCATTATCTTTATTATTCACTCTTTTTTAACGTATTTACAGTGAATTTAAAGTATATAAACTATAACTATAACAAAATAACGTTCTTAGTCCATCCTAACACCACCGCTGACCTGCGCCCACTGTTCGTCTTTTTGTGAACGACCTATAAAATAATAAAGCAAAAATACAAAGGAAAAGACAGCAAAAAAAAGGAAAAGGAGATGGCAAAAATACAAAGGAAAAGACAGCAAAAAAAATGAAAAGGAGATGGCAAAAATACAAAGGAAAAGACAGCAAAAAAAAAAGAAAAAGAACATTCGCAAATCCTAACAGTAAATATTGCCCAGCCTATATGAGGCGGGAATGCATTGTTAAGTCTGATATCTTTCATATAATTAATATTATACTGCATCTGTTAAAACAGACATGCATAATCTACAATTATATTTTGAGATTCAATTTAACAATGCATATTCAAAAGTTCTAAAATGTAAATATCAAGAATAGGCCGTGAGATGAGGGTCGAAAATATGCTTAGAAAACAGATTCCGTAGCACCCCTCGTGTAACTACATAATTTTTACATGAATGGATAGATTAGAACTTACTTAGTTAGAATCCACTTCCCCCCAAGTGAAATAGTTGCACAAATTTAAGTACAACGTCTCCAAAATTCATGCTTGGTCGTATTTCAAAATCCATGACCCGCCATTGTTGTGTTGCAAATACACATGTGCTTGACCACAAAACACTTAATGCGCACGCAGATAACAAAAACTGATCTCAATCCAGAACTGGAGAAACCTGGACAAGAAAAAGTTGTGAAATGTGCGAAAGAAGGGCTGAACTGAAACAAGATGACATCGGAGTGTTTTAAAAATATATGATATTTTTATGTTTTGTGCATTTTAATGTTTTTTCCAAACATTCTGAGCAAATTACCGTGTCAAGCCCTGGCCAGGAACACTTCCAAGTCAACATTA